CAAACCTCTTCCCTTTTTCTCTTTTCTCTTTATCGCTAATTACGCTCTCCTGATGCACATACTTTTCCTATTTTATTTTTTCTTCGCCTTCCATTCGTTCTGTCAGCGCTTCATTTCCTAAACTGGTTGTATTGTTAAAATCCTCTTGGTCAACATGTGTTGTATTACGATTGGTCCAAATCCATCAAGACTTACTATATAACATTATATCGAGGGAAAACATAATGATATCTTGACTATGATGAGAACCACCGTTAATAATCCAGCAATTGACAACTTGATTAAAACCTCCTTGGAAAGTCATGATTATAAAACTTTCAGATTGAAATGGGTTCCTTACTCAGAGATCACAAGCATAAAGCCAACTCAAATTGACAACGTCTATTATGCTGTTCGCAAGACAACATGTAGTTGTGAAGATGATGAACTGATGTTGCTGTTGCTTGGCAGTAACGAAGAATGTACACCGACACTTGTGAGTGAGTTTGCTAGAATATACTCACTACCAACACACGAGTACAATAACGATGACAATAAGTTTAAAAGATATTCCAAATTGCTTAAGAATCGCAACAGACTCATAAAGGGATTTACTAAGTTTAATAACAAGTGTTACATGGTCGCCAGTATACGGTTTTATCACTGTTACTCTCGATATGGATTCTGCACTGCATGCGGAATATTCCGATGTAGTCCCTTGTGGTGCATTTGTGGTCATAAAGGATTATTCGATGGATGGACTAGCAACAACAAGCAGCTCGATGCATTGATTAAGAAATCTCAATTACAAACAAATTCACCAAATCATGCATATTTGGAATGGATCCCATTTGATTGTATTGTGGATCTAGGTCCTGACGTGTACTTATGTGGTCTACCTACTTGTAGCACTGTGAAATTGATTCCACACGAGATAAGGGATGAGACACATGATTCATTATCATATTATGTCGAGGTAAACTATTTACTTATGCATCATATTTGTTGGATAGTTTAAATAATTATTGACTTATTGTTATGTATTATTTCTACTAGTTATGTGATGAGCATCCTGATATTCTTAGCACGGATGTTTGGATTATCATTGGATTTACGTATAATACAAGGGAACAAACGTATTGTCTAATAAAGGAAAAATATGGGCATGAATTATGCCTGGCGTGTACGGAGCAATTAAACCGCACGATAAATGCATTCTGTTATGGATGTAAAGCACCAAGACCTGTCGATTGGACCACAGGCAACAAGCCATTGGATTCACTTATTATGGAGTCATGGCGTAATACAAGGAATGAACATGATGCGTATATACAATGGATAGAATATTCTCTATTGTCAAACGTGCAAGAGGTGACATTATTGCGCCATGGATGCACACACGTAGCAGATTGGTTAGACTCGGCAACGAATAAATTGACTCGTGTATCACTCAAAAAGATAGTTGACGAACAAAACGACCAGGTATTTGATTTTTATCAGGTAAATTATTTCATATTAATATTGATATGTGAACAATGCAAATAATGTTTAAACTTGCAATGACTGTATTTATTTGCTCACACAGCTAACCAAGGAACATCCGGATATATCAACACCTGATAATGTTTGGATACTTGGGATCACTCAGGTGCCATGTACTCGCGAATATTATTTAGTTTTCTACCACAACATACATGCAATATTAGACAGGTTTATACAAAATAATAGACGTGTATACTACATGAAGTATTATATATATAGCAACTTTCGCGAACTGAAAGAGATCGGATCTGGTGGTCATGGAACAGTTTATACTGCTAAGTGCACAGTAAGACCAGGTACAGTTGTGCTCAAACGGTTTAAGAGTTTTGATGGTATGCCAGAATTATTTATTAATGAGGTAAGCAATAATCGGTAATATCAATTAATGTGGGTTTAACTTGATGCTGTATTTGTTTCCATTTCATAGCTTCGTTTTCATTTCATAGTTCAGAAATTATATTACGTGTTCAAGGACTAGAAGTTATTTCCTTAGAGTCTATGGAGTGACACAAGATCCAGAAACAAAAGAGTATATGATTGTTATGCAATATGCTAACAATGGTAGTCTTTTGTCTTATTTGGATCGAAATATTAACGAATTGACGTGGAAGAAGAAATTAGAGTGTTTGAGAGTTATCGCACAGTCTCTGCATTTTATTCATGATGCAGGATTAGTACATTGTAATCTTCATGGAAGAAGCATTGCTTTGTATTATGGAACTCCATATATATACAATCTCGACTTCTCACGATCGGTGAATTCACGTCAACGAATTTCAACCCTTCGAGGCGCTTTACCCTTTATTGCACCAGAAGTCTTCCGTACTCGCAAATTTACTCAGAAATCAGACGTGTATTCTTTGGGGATTATTATGTATTTAATGGCTACTGGTGAATCGCCTTTTAGAGATAGGCAATCTGATGAAAGTTTAATGCGCGATATTATGGCGGACTACGGCCGTCTATGCCCGATTCCGCACCAGAGGAATACAAGAAACTTGCCGAGCAATGTTGTGATGCTGATCCTGATGAGCGTCCTGATCCTGAAAGACTTAGGTGGGATATTCTCAAGCTTATTAGAAAGGTATACAAAGACGATTCTATCGGTAACGTATGGAATACTATCTATCATAATGATGTTGGACCCTTATTATTATCGCGTCTCGAGGAGAATGATATGATGTAATGACTTGAACATATTCTGATTTCGTGTGTCCTTTATTAAGCACAGCTCTCAAACATATTCTGAATAGACTTGTAATTTAATAATTTCGTCTCTTTAATTAATTAAATAAATACGATATGCTTCTATGTGGTTGAGTTAAAATAAATGGTGCACGTTTACTGTTAGCCGCCTTGCCCGAGTAGTAACTTGAATAGTAAACAAAGAGTACATTATTAAAGTTTATGAAACCGGTAGTAAGCTTGATGCTAATCGTACCTAAAAAAATGCGTGGCTACTACTACTGGTGAAGTTTGCATTGCCAATTCAGCACCCGGCCAGATGATGCTGCCTCCTAGTATTGTTTTCATAGTCAAAACCAAATCTTACTCAAATGACTCATGGAGTTGGCCAATGGGCAAGCTTAACTCTCCTGTAACCTACACGTTAATATGGGGCATACTGCAACAAAAAACCAGACAAAGGGAACATTCTTAAATAAGAGGCTGGTGTGGCTGAAAGTTAACTAATTTGACTAACACTAGTGGCGGTTTGAAAAGCAATAATGGTGCTTATTCATAACTTATGGACTTGTTAATTTTAATGCTCACTTTACTATACCAGAATGTGATGAATATAAACCATAACATGATTAATATAGGATTACCTCTATATATAAAAAATATTAATATAAAACTAATTTACATTAAGTCCATCATGGAACCCAAGAATTATAGCACCATTAGAAGTATTCTAAAAAAAGCTCAAGGAGAAAAATTGCGCCTTATGTTTTTAAAATGAATGATACTCAAACTCTCCAAGAATATCTAGATACAGAAAAAATTACATATGAAATTTACCAAGAGGAAAGGAAAATCATAACTACTAAACGATCATTAAAACCAACACATGATGAACATTGAAAGAAACAAAAACTTGAAGAAACGTAAGGAAAATAAATTTAACGTACAAGCTTCCCACCAACGCTTCCACTTCGTTGAGTGTTGATCATATTTCGCTACTTTGACACAATGCAATTAGTTTCATGTCCTTTATTAGGCGCAACTAAGGTGGACCTCTAAAGCTGCTTTGACACAATGCAATTAAAAAGCCAAACAATGTAAAGATAATTCAAATTTTTTGTAGGCATAAATTTTATTATTTTAATTATTGAATGCGCGCTCTTGAAGATATAATAATACTAAAGCACCAGAGTAATTGCATGGGAGGAAAATACTCGGACCCAAAGTCATTACTGAGTATAACCTATTATTTGGTCACTCTGGTGCAAATTAATTTCATTCTTCTTTACTATCACTGTTATTATTATCCCATTTGAGTAATTTACTTCTCTTCGTCGATTCAACGTTGGATTACCTCAATGGTCTTTTTCCGCGGGTTGTTCTTCGAAGATAAAAATTTCGTATTGTAGAAGCCGCAACAGCTTTTTCTTTAAGTAATTTATAAATTTCGAACGCCATGTTGTTAAATGAGAATTTTGGATCCGATTCGGTTCTTTTATCATATAATTTTCTCAAATCGTTCCACAACGTCTCGATATCTGGCAGATAATTTTTGTTCGTGTTTGCTAACTTTCTGGACTTCATAGTCTTTGTTAATATTTCCATGTTGTGGAGTTGGCTATTATAATTTATGCCATTTAGCAACAGGCCGAGAACGAAGCCAATAAATACTCCAAAAAGAAATTCGCTTACGAACGTAAGCATTTTTGTAGGTGTTATCGGTGGTGGAAGTCGTCAGATTTGTTTTGTTACTTTAAACGATGTATCAATATTATTTCAACGATATTAATTGCGTTGTGGTTGTTAACCGGCGCTGTTTTTATAATAAAATATCTGTTTGTTCATCATACGCTGCGGATGATCACTAAACAAACGTGAATTTCTGCGCGACGTTGGACAGGGCGGATGCGGCGTTGAAGAAGTTTCAGGAGTCGAAGTATCGGGGAGAAAGGCTGGACGAGTTGAGGGATAAGAAGGAGCGGGGGGATCTCGATGCGAGGGAGGAAACAGGGCTGGAGTGGCGTGCGAAGGAGGAGACAGAGCCGTGAATCTGTGTAGGAAGCGCGTGGATATGTGTACAGAGGAGTGGCTCAAAAGCAAAGAGGACTTGCGGCAAGCGAGGACTCAGACAGGTAACGACTTTGTGACTCGGGCGTTGGGGACAGATTAGTGTGTACATAGAGCAGAGTAGACGGAGTAGTATGGGCTGTAATATAGTTGTATCGGGAAAACTTATAGCATATAGCTTTTTGTTCATGATTCTGTGCTGCGTTCCTAAAACACGCACATGGTTTCTATGAGGAATTGGATTTGGGTGCAGCAAATATGTTTGCCATCCGTTCTGCCTCATTTATCTGACGCTGCTCGCTTTCGCTTTCCATTTCTGACACATAACTTTGCTTATAATCACCCTCAAGATGTCGAGCAAATCGCCGCCGTTGAACCTGGCTCTCGCAAGCGAAAGAGGGAAGACGGTTAGTATAACTTAAAGTGCAAGAAAGAAGGTATAGGATATATAATCAAAAATTTTCTTATAGAGCAAGCGGAGCTCGTAACGAACCTCCTCAACATGGATGCTCCTTCAAAACTACCCCAGGAGGCTGTGGGTAATTGTTGCAGTAACGTGACTCTGTATTACATCTCTGTCCTGTTAAAATCGTTG